CCTTCCTAATGACAATGATTAGGATACCAAGGGCTGCAGAACATCATCAGGTGCCATTTTAAAATAAAAACCAAATTTCATCACGAACTCCAGTAAGAATGAATGCATTCAGGCAGGAAGACTCCAACAGCCAGGATGTCTCCAAGAAAACAGCCTCCTTTCCTCATGCTCACTCCTAACTGGGCAGGATGACATGGGACTAGATGGCAGGAGCGGTGAACCAAATACAGGAGAAATGAGATGGACACATACTCATTTGATAGTATTAGCGAGCAAACTGGCTATTTTGTCACATCATTGGACACTTTCCTAGTGCTCAGAAATCCAAATGTGCCTTGGCACAAGCGCTACACACCATTTACAAAATACTGCAGCAATTTCGCTCTGTCCGTTGCCACAAAGTTCACACGTGATGGGATGGAGACTTGGGCGAAGGAGGGCAGAAGTTTTTACAGCAGCAAGGCCACGTACATCAGCAATGATGGACTGACTGTACAATGCTACAAGCCATCAGGAGTTGACAGGAATCTCTTCTGCTCTGAAAACTGTGTAAACATGGTATTTTAACTTCGCCCATCTGCTTCCTTGCACGTGTTCAGTCGTATTTGCCAGCTTTGCTGATTAAAGTAAGTGCTCAGTGGTTTGCTTTAGCTTTAGTCTCATGAACATTTCAGCTCAGTTTGGTGGGAAAGAGAGCTGGGGTGAGCTGAGGGAACAGCCCCTGAGCACCCCTGTGAGCCCCCTTGCTGGCCACACGTGGCCAGGAATAACCCCCGCGGGACTCGCAGGCCGGGGAGCCCCTACCCAAAGAGCCAAAACAGAACAAACTCCGCCCCAACTTTACAGTACCTTTCAAACTGTGCAGAACTGTGCTTTGAATGAAAAATTAAAAGGAGATCAATGCTTCTAGCTTTCATTCATTTAGTTTCTGAATGAATTCTTTGCGGTGTGTTTCTGCCGTAAAAAGCCTGGGGCATCCTTGCATCTCGTGAAGCAGAACAGACCATTTTAGCTGCCGGACTCCTTTGCCCCCTCCATCATGCCCATGCACTGATGCTCCATGGTTTAATGCAGATTACTAACATAAGAAAAAGTCTGTTTTTAGGATGTTCTACCGACCTCCCCCCAGCTTGGTACGCAATGTAAGCGAATAGCTAGCCAGACCTTGTTCTCTACCTTGCTCACTAACCAGCTCAGTCTAGGTGCCAGGGCGCACTTATGTTCTGGGATGTTTGCAAATTTGATTTTTCTACTTCTTATCAGAAGGAAACGAGAGAAGCTGCACATCTCTGCATTTCCCCCTCCTTCTCTGAGCTGTGTTACCACCATTCCTTCAGATTTATTACCTGCTGCTGTAAAGGCAGATGTGAGTAGGCTGGTTCCTGCGTGAGTACATGTTGGGACCCTGAGCAGTAAGAATTGTTCTGGGGAAAGACATAGCCATATTATAGCAAGGATTTTTACTACTGTTACGGAAGCAACATCCATTTAGAGAGGAAAAATACTAAGGCCATATTTTTATGAAGAAAAATGCCCCTTTGCCTGATTCTGCCAGTGAAAAATCATCTTAAAAAAGGGGGTGTTCAAAGTGACTTTGGTGTGAGCAAGAATCCAGTTCACCTGGCTGTTGATATATTTTTCCTGATTAACAAGGTTTTACATTAAGGAAGGGAATTTTTCCTGAAACTCAAACAAAAGTTTAATGAAATTCACAGTTTTGGCAGTTGAAACTTGCAAAGCTTTCCTGAAGCTCATTATGCTCCATTAGCCTCATTTACTCAGACATTTATTATCAATATGCCAAGTACATTAATTATCTGCATGATTAGCCCTGGCTGCCCCAAGAACATTGTAAGGA